AAAAAAAGCATCGTGTGCCGCTGGCTTTAGTTTCCATATTCTCTAATTCGACATTTTCAATATTTCCCTTCTTTTTCATTTTCCTTTTTTTTTTGTTTAATTCTGGCATTTAAATGTAGGAGACCATGACAGGATAACTTTTAGTTTATATATGTTAGTTTGTGTTTGCTCTGAGGAAGGCTCAAAAGTGAGCCAAAACATAAGCGCGTTTAGTGAATAAAGAAGTTTCACGCTTCATAGGTGTATTATTTGCGCGACGTCTTCTACGCCTGACTCCTAGTGTCCTTACTCTTTCCAATTCTTTAAGCCATAAGATAAACTTATTAGGGCTTCTACAGACGAGCGACTTTGTAGCGCCCAACAGCGAGTTTGTAACGCCACAGAATAACTCTGTATGAACAGGTCGACGCTTTCGAGTGTGGCGCTACAAAGTCACTCGTCTGTAGGAGCCCTTATCCTATATGTAACTATATAAATTATATTATAAAAATTTCATGTTTTATTCTGTACTTTATCTCATGTTTTTATTCTTTAATATTTTTTATATAAAAATTGTTTATATTAAAATTAAAATCCAAGAGAATTTAAGAAAATTTATTAATGATAACTATATAGGAATAAAAAATAAAATCGCATGAATGTATATATTATGATACAATAATCTTTTATTAAATTTCACCTACAAACAACGAATCACAGAACGTTACATTAGAGTTCCTTACGTCAATCCATCGTGTTTTCATATATTTTACAGGTAAATAATTATGTATTTATCTCTATTATAATAAAGTCTTATTTGTTAAAATATCTCGTAGTGTAGTGGATTGTTATGTATATGTAAATTTAATTTACCTAAAAATAGGATTTCTGTTGTAGTGTCCATTCATTGTTTATAAGTGTCCGTTATCATGTATAGTGGTATACTATAGGTACTTTTGTCCATTGTACTCTGATATATCTTCTTTTTTTATCATTATTAATATTATCATTAATAATATTATTACTATTTCCCGCCGATACATTGTATTCGAAGTACGATAAAAGTCACCACGTACCAAAGAACTTTTCGCTGATAAAATTACAAAATTCATTTCGTCACAAAAACGATGTTAGGACTTTATATGTATGTAAAGGGTTTTTAAGTACCTGGACAAAGTGACGGCATTTACGATTACAAATCGCTAGAACTTTTATATGCATCTTTTTTTTTTGTTAGAAGGCAACACGTCTTTGTTAATACGAGAAGGCAATTTGCTTTGTATCATCGGTATATCTGGTGTCCCAAAAACATCGGATTGATCTGACAGCACCATGGCGTGGCTCGATTCGAAGGGCGTCGATTCGAGCGACAAGTGCAAAGGGACCATTTACAGGCATTATTGGCAGCACTGAATCACTGTTCAAATATATTGTTATATTTCGTTTCTTCGATATATCCCGAGGCTGTAATGCGCGATCGGCCACATTAGTCATCGCGCGTGATCTAGATAGACGCTCCTCATCCGCTCTTTTTTTTCCACCGTCCGTCATTTCATTTTCTCCCGCGGATAATTATCACGGGGATAACCAGCGTTACATTCATCCTAAACGTAAATAATATTTTTGACGATTTCCTCTTTATGTACAAAACTTAGGGCTATATAGGATACACTTGCACTCGCGCGCGTCACGCGTCCCGGGGCGCCAATAAGTTAAATTTTACTCTAGAGTTATGCATTTTTATTATTACGCTTCCCGTGCGTCGGGCGGACTTTTCTCTGTATTGTACGTGCGACGTCTCTGATCAGTCTGAGCATGCGAGACCAGCAATATACGTGTGTATATATGTGCGTTATGACTGCGACTTTAGAAGGCTCGAGCGCGAAATCGGCGCTCCCCCGAACGTATAAAATTCGTTCCCGATATAATGTATACAAGAACAAACTAGATAAGTATACAAAGTTTCAAAAGAGAGACGTCGCGCGAGACGGTTAAAAGCGCCCAACGCGTGTCGCCGTGACGCCAAAATCTCATAGAGACACATCAAATCGCTCCATTTTTACTACATAACATACAATAGATATATTTATATAATATATATAATATTCAATAATATATATATATATATATTTTTTTACTAAAGGTATTCTTTATATTTATATACAGAGATATATAATTGTCCGCATCGATAATCTTTACGAATTAATAACACTAGGTTGCTAAATAATAATTTTCTTGGACCTCGGTGTGCGTGTGTGTATGTGTGTGTGTGTGTATACAAAATGTATACGTGTATGCATGTTTATTAGCCAGCACCTTGCGTTGTTGAACCCTCAGCTTACGAATCGGAAGGGTCAAACCCTTCCGCTTATACTTAAAAAAATATAATGTGTACCCTCCCTGAGCTCGCTCCGTGAAACTTTAAGAGACGCTTCTCATCCTTTCCCGTTCCACTACACATCTCATGTCGTCTCGTCTTGTCTCCTTTTCTCTCCTCTCCGTATCGTAATCCTTTTCACAGCCCTCATTTCGTTTCATTTTTTTTTTATAACTTTCGTCCGTTTCCATACATTTCCCATTTGCGCAGATCACGCGCGTAACAATTTTCTTAGGTAACATATATAAATGTCTAATATACAATAAATAATTTGTCGCTCTTTCGAATATACAATTTTTCGCTTTTCGGTGCTTCGCGGCTTAAGTAATTTGTCCATAGTGTCCCTCCCGCAAGGTACACCAGATAAAATCTTTAGTTTCCATTCTCGACACGTTAAGAACTAAATTTTGTACAAATTTCAACGAGTCGGGCGCCGTCCTGTCCCGATCCTACGCGGATTCGGATACGTGAGAAAGAAACGGGCCGCAGGAGAAGGACGAAGTACTGGGTCGGGACCACCTCTGACGACATCGTCACGCGGCGCCTTAATATACATTTACATAGGTATAATACAAGGAACAAACGAAGCCAGAGAGAAAGATGGAAATAGAGAGAGAGAGAGAGAGAGAGAGAGAGAGAGAGAGAGAGAGAGAGAGAGAGAGAGAGACAGAGAAGCGGGTAGGGAGAGACAGACAGCGAAAGAGAGGGAGAAAAAAAAAGAAAAGGTGAAAAAGAGGACGCGCTTTACAACATCTGAGGGATGTGCCAGGTCGGCGCGTCTCGATAAAGAGAACCGCTGAACGGCGATCTTTCGCGCGGATGGGGCCCCGCGACGGGTCCGCGACGTCGCATCAGCGACAGCGACAGCGACAGCGACGACAATGACAACGACAACGACAACGGCGGTGGTCGACGTCCGCGCGGGGCCCGCGCCGAGACGCTGTGCTGCTCTACTTCCTTCTTCTCCCTCTTCTCCCTCTTCTCCCTCTCGTGCCCCGCGGGACGGGCCGACTCCCTGTCTCATGCGCCCGTACAATCGATCTCGACGATGTCCTTCGGCACATCGACGAACTGGTAGACCAGCCGCTGGCCGTCCACCTTCGCCAGGATGCCGCGCTGATAGTAATAGCGCAGTGCTCTGCCCATCGTCTCGTAATTCATGTCCGGCTTGTTCTTGTGTATGCCCCAAAGTCGCGAGACCGCCTTGCTGTCGACCAGCTTGAAGATGCCCCGTTCGCGATTCGTCCATTTAATGTAGCGCGGACAGTATTCGTGGTCCTGCAGCAGCTTGAGCAGGAATTCCCACAGGTACGTGGTCGAACCCTCGCGCGACTTCCGCTTCACCGCGGCTCCACCCTCGCCACCCTGTCGCGGTTTCTTCAGCTTGTTCTTCTTCGAGCGCGACGGGAAGCCGAGCTCGAGAAGGTAGAGATCATCCGAGACCGAACTGGTAGCCGCCTGGATCACGCTGGTGGGTACACCGCCGGGTCCTCGCGGCGGGCTCGGAGTACAGGGGGTCGCAAACTGCCCACCTCCGCCATACATGTTTATATAACTGTTGTAGCTGTCGGACACTGAAAAAAGAGGTGCGATTAAAAAAAAGTCTTGCAAATAATTTCTGCATTATACGAATCTTTATCTATGTATAATGTACAGCTCTATACAGAAAGTACAGTTTTTTTAATGTCTAAAAATTTAGCTAGGTACAATATAAATTTGAAAATCATTTTGTTGAATTATCCAATTAATTATGTAGAACACTCAAACTGGCTAGAACGCCAAAACTTTTTGTAGCGTTACCATTAATGTTTAAGCGTTCCATCTATCTACATAATTATTATGACAATTATTTTGATATTATTTTGACAATTTAACAAAATTATTCAGATGTGTATATATTTAGCTGAATTTTTAAATACTTGAGCAAAATAGTTCTTTCCGTGTAATGAACTCGATAACTTCTTTTATGAACAGGCACTTGATTACAAAAAGTAGCGCGATTAAAAAGTCTTGCGAATAATTTCTGCATTCTTATTTACTATATACATACGAATCTTTATTTATAACTATACGACAGAAAAAACGATTTTTTTATAATGTCTAAAAATTTAGTTAGCTACAGATCTGAAAATAATTTTGTTGGACCATCGAAATAATTATGTAGAACGCTCAAACTGATTGTTAGAATGTCAAAAATTTTTACAGTATTATCATCAATATTTAAGCGTTTTATATAATTATTATTAAGACGATTATTTTGATGATATTATTCTAGTTGATGACAATTCAACAAAATTATTCAGATCTGTATCCAGCTGAATTTTTAAATATTTGAGCAAAACTATTCTTTTCGCGATAATGATCTATGACTTTTTGTAGCAGGTTCTTATTTAATTATATATAATAAGTTAAACATAATGGTCATATAATAATGTGCATCTTGATCTGCCTTTTTTTGCTCATTACGCAACAAGCGTATATTTTCTCGAAGCACGAAGGACAATAACATATGGAAGCTATTTTATCATAAGAGAGAGAATCAATATCGCTACAACTATCGTACAGAAACAACTTGGACATTTTGCGATAAAAGAAAGAGTCTGTCCTTGGAGAGGCACGTTCTATTAATCGCATCCCAAAAGAATCCTAGACAAAGAGTAGCGTTATTATCTCGATTCGCGGTGGAGGGTCGGTAGTCGGTGTCAGCGTTTATCGCGTTAGTTTTCGCACCGAGTGGCTTAAAGGTATACGTCGCAGTTGAACGGTGCAATCAAGTATTAATAGCCATCGTTCGCGAAGCGGCAAAGAGGGAAAACGTCGTTATCGCCTATCATCATTGTCGCGTCGTTATCGATGCCTTTGTCATTTCCATCACTTGATTTATCGAACAAGAGAGTAGCTGTTTTCAAAATTACTCTACCACTCGCTTCCACGTCTTGTTTCATCATCTATCTAGCGTTCATATTTGTGCCAGATATTTCTCTGGTCTTATTCGAAATCGAAAAAACAGAAGAAACAGCCCAGATAACAAAAGTTGAAAATCAGAATACAAAATATCTCACAAGATGTTTTAACTCCACATAACTCGCATGGTTTTTTTTAACGTAATTACTCGTGTAGTATATATAGGTATAATTTCTGACACTCCACACTATACCTCCGTTTTCATTGTTCTCTTTAATGATTTACAATTAAATATAATATTCTACAATATCTATAATATTTTTAACATCTTTAGATAAAGATAAATATAAAAATCTTTTTTAAATCGTAAAACAATTTGTGCTACAATAAATATATAAATATAATATGTATAAACAACATTCATACATTTAACAAATTTATGAAGCCCATTTCTATCAATGTAATTTTAATCTCGATTTAATTTACTTTTTATCTTTTTCTCTAGTTCTAAGAATTGGAAAAGAATAAAAAGAAAATTAAAACGAGATTAAGGTTAATTTATATTAATGGAAGTGAACATTAATAAGAGAGAGAGAGAGAGAGAGAGAGAGAGAGAGAGAGAGATGTCCCGATTTTGAACTTTGTATTGACTGTCAGGAATTTGAGAAACGTTAGTCTACACGACATGTGATTTAGCCAGGAATGGATGCCACGCAATATCGATTGTGTCGGTACGATCGTACAGACGCGAGTGGCGAGTGCACACGATGACGATCTGAGTTTGTGCCGCGAGCACAGGACTGTGATCACGGTCCATGGGCGTAGGAAAACGTTCAGGACGTGTGCGAGAATCGCCACGCAGTTCTTCCTTCTTAAACGGAGGATTCTTTTCTCGCGAATTTCACATTGAAACGCAGCCGGCTGCCGACGATCCCTTAGGGAATCATCAAGTTTCAGCACTTCTGTAAAAATTCAATAAGAAGCCACCTTTTAAAAATCGAGTTTGGCCTAGAAAGTTTTACAACTTTAATGCCATTGTCTATTTTGATCTTGGTAAAATTCGTTGATTCGGAATCGTGTCGGGGTTGTGTGAAACAAAAACATAAGTTTAATATTTGGAGGCATTATCGTGAAGAGATATTGGAGGAAATTGAAGTTTCGAAGTTCGGTAAACTTTATCTCGGCAGATTCTCTCACGAGAGAATCATTTTGAAAGGAAACAAACATTTGAATATACTCGAGAAAAGAGACCACGTTGTGGCAAAAAGCAAGATTTTCGAAACTATAAAACCTCTTTCACATCGGTAAATGAGCGACAATCAAGTACGGCTTTTATGTGAAAAGGAAAACAAATTTTCAGCCGCGTGACACATGTACGCGCAAACATGCGCCGCGTTATGTCGAAAGAAAGCGAAAGTTTCAAAGTTGGTTGCCTCGAGATAAATCTCGTGTTCTTTATACCGGAGCCGGAGATGAGTAACCAATGTCGCCATGCGGCTCCTATAGGAAAAAGAAAAAAGAAGCAATTCTCAGCATTTCGCACCTACGTGCACGCGACGATGGACGCGAGACGCGAGAATGATGAGAGAAAGCAAAAGTTTCGAAGCACTGCAACGAGGCGGTGAGAAGCTCTTTTCCCTTTACGCCACTGGATCGAGAGGAAGAGGAGACGGACCGAGATAAAGAGACGAGAAGAGGGAGCGAGAGAGAGAGGAAGAGAGGGTTAAAGCGGAGAGTCGAGCGCGCGGCGAGCGGAGTGCTCAGAGTGAGCGAGAGGGAGATGAGACGAGGGGGGAAGGATGAGGGAATCGGGGAACTCTGCCTGCAGTATGATAGAGGACTGACCCGAGCCAAGGTTGCACGGGTGACGCCATCAAGCTACTAGTGCATAATAGCGCCGCTCGTTCTGAGGCCGCCGCGACTGCGCTAAAATCGGAACTCGTTCTCCAGCCCCTCGCGCTCGCCTCCTCTCTCGTGCTCTCGTGCCTAGCCTTCCTCGTTGTCGCGTCAATTCCCCCTCCCCCCCCCCCCCCCCCCCCCT